TACACAACATTCTTGAAATGACAAAATTATAGAAATGTAGAGAAGGTAACATTGAATGCTGTAAGTTAGGGAGAATGTGCCATTAGGGAGGTGGGTGTGGTTATAAAAGGGCAACTTGGAATGCTCAGGTGATAGAAATATTCTGTATTTGACTATATCAGTGTCAACACCCTAATTTTGCTATTGTACGGTAGTTTTGCAAGACATTACTGTTCGGGAGAAAGGGTAGTCTCTGTATTATTTCTTATAACTGCATGCATACCAATCTGCAATGATCTCAAAATGATTTAATAAATGAATTGCCAGCATATAAAAATTAGAAATATCAGCTTTAAGTCTTTAAAAATCAGAGGATGGGGCAGAGCTGTTTTACATTTTTCCACAGTAACAGTCCCGTGTCCCCACATTTACAATAATATCTGGCCATGTTCCCATATCAGCATTACCTGGTGGATGCCCCGCCTATCTTCAGTCCTGAATATCAGGTCTCTTTAAGATTTGTTTGACAAATGGGGCCCATTGCTAACATATTTTAAAACCACTAGTTCTATCCAGACTTTCCTATTACCAAGAGGAAGCCAAGGCCCAGAGACATCATGAGTGGGATAAAGCCACCTGGAAACTGAGCATCAGAGCCATGATCTGAGTGCCAGCCTCTCTGAGGTCAGGGAGAAGGGTCAGAGACAGCATGAGCAGGGGCCCTGGGGCAGGGCCACACGGCCATACTGACAGCACTGAAAAACATCCCAGAGAGACCTCCCAGGACACAGACACAGCCACAGCCACAGCCACTTTGTTCAGCCAGGCCTGCAGCCTTTGTCATCGGTGCTCAGCGACAGGGCAGGGACAGTTCTGAGGCATCTTGAGTCTAGTGAGCCTGTTCTGCTTGGAGCTGTCTGGTAATTCACAGCCAGCCTGAGAGAAGAGTGAGGAGAAGGAAGAGGAGAGAAGGGAAGAGAGGAAGAAAGGGAAAGAGACCCTGGGATGCCTACAAGGGCTGCTCAGGGGACATTTAGGACTCTCCTGGTCTCTCCAGTTGTGGTTTTCAAACTTGCTAGGCTTGCAGAGGACAAATACATCCACAAAACACAAGTAACTTTTACTACAGATAGCTGCCGACTGCTCCTCATGAGGGTTCCCTTTGATGGAGGGCCCTGAGCCAGGTGGCACCGTGAGAATCACCCCAGTTAGTGGGGACAGAGCTGAATGTGCCAGGGAGAGAACAGGACACGGTAGAGGAGGAGGGAGGAACCAGTGAGTCCCTGCTGTGTTGGAAGGGGGCAGGTAAGGAGAGGAAAAAGAGCCTTGTATGGTTGCACAATGGAAAAGGGATATGTAGGGGTGGTGGAGTTATGATGTTTGTGGAGGGATGTGCAATCAACCCTCACCTTCAACTCATCTATGAACTTGTCGCTGAAATCAACTTTGTTCCTTAACTCTTGGGGACTCAGGGGGATGAAGGTTCTTTATCTAGGTGAGCATCAGGTAAACATGGAGATTGTACTTATAGATAGTGGTGCCACAAGGTGGGGGCCAGGGGATGTCTGGGCTACATGTTGGGGTCCTCTGGGATGGTTACACCAAGTGGGATCCAGGTGCCTCACAGGTTCAAGCCCTGCCTTTGATGAAGCTAGGCTTATTCCTACTCCCAGCCCCATCAGGGTTGCTCAACATGGGCCTGACCTTCCAAGCCATCAGGGCCCCAGATTGCCTTTCCAAAGTCAGAGGGAAGCTATAGTGTCTTCTCTGAGATTAGAGGCTCTGCTTTAGGAGGGAGGCACTATTTGTGCTCTGCAATTTCAGAGGAGGCTGGGAGCCACAACATTACTAGCACCCACTACAGCGGTCCCGTGTGGAAGCTGTCACCAGGCTAGTGTTTAAGCCTACCTGGGCAGTTTGCTAAGGTGCTGGGTCTTTCCTGGGATGGGGGAGAAACCCACAGCTGACATCTGAGCTGTTCAGGGGCCTGCCCTGCCTCACCTGTAAAGATAGGGTCCTTGGAGATTAGACTCTGCCTTGCAATGGCCAGCAGGTGAGCACTGGAGTATCGGGGGGAAGCTACCTGATACCAGTTACCAGAGGCACTGTCAGAGTGTCAGAGGGTACAAAGCCAGGGCCCTCTGAAGGGCATGGAGGGAAAGCAGGGTTGTGAGCTGCTGTGAGACTCTGTGGGAGGGTTGGAGTGACAGGTGAAGGAGTGACCTAGGAGTGACAGGTGAAGGGAGAGTATGCAGGGTCCTGACATGCAGACTTATACTTGCCCAGAGCCATCAGTGCTGCTGCCTGGTACAGAAATCTTGCTGTCACTCATGGGTATTCCTGCCAGCTTTCCCACCACACAGCAACAGGAAGTAGAAAGCACTCTGTGCATGTACAAGCCTGTGTCAGCTGCCAGGCCCCCAGCATCTGGCAAACTCAGGCTCTGCCAGAGTAAGCTACTTGGAAGTGGGAAGCCCTTCTGAGGAAACTCAGCCTTCAGGAGAGACTCTTAGATCCCTTGTTGTGAGCATGGCTAAATTAGGAGGAGAAATAGGAGGCTGTGGCTGCCCTCAGCCAATAAGATGGGTCACCAGAGACTAGGGGTGTAGCTTCCAACACACCTAGTGGGAACAGATTGAAGTGGGGCTCAGCCCCCTTGGGGAGAAAGACCCCTGACCAGCCTGGACCCCAGGTGGGGACAAGCATGCTCACTTCTACTCAGATGGCCACTTGCGTGAGTGCAGGACCCACCCCCCACCCCCGCCGACCTGTGACCAACAGCCACAGTCACTAGTTGAGGCTTTAATCACACAGTTGAACCACTGCAGCTACTGTACCCCATGCCCCAGGTCACAGGCTGCTTAAGATTTTATGAAATGAAAATGCCTACCCTCTTCCTGTGGCCATGGAGAGGATGGGCATTTTGGGGGAGGCTATGAGGACAAGCCCCTAGAAATTAAAGTCAAGATAAGGGAGAAGAGCAGAAAGCCTATACCCTTCCAGTTCTGGGCAGAATCTTTGCTGGGCACCCCAGAACCTTCATTGCATGGCTGAAGACCCCAGGGGAAGGGGCTGATAATGGCACAGCACCTGTGGGGGAAGCTGCTTTCTTGGGTGGAAGCCTGGGACAGAGGAAGAAAGCAAGCTGGAGCCTCCTCTTTGGCCCTCCTTCCACATTTCCCTAGAAAACCCTACAGTAGCCAGGGGAGAGGCTCTAAGACCTACAACAGAGTTTTCAAGATCCTAAGCCCCTCTGCCTTCTTCTGGGACTGAACCAAACTCATATGGGGTAGGGCCTAGAGGCAAGTACTAACCTCCCCACTTATTTATAGGACCAGGCAGAATAAGCCCCAAGAGATACATCTGGAAGCCAGGAAGGGGGAGGCCAATTACAAGGCCTGGGGACTACCCTAAATACTGCCTTCCATGTTGCCTCACCCAATAACTTTTCAGTGCCTAAAAATACTCCAGAAGAAATATAAAAAATATCTATCTCCTATTACCTGTTATCTACCTCCACCAGTACCCTCCTGCCTGTAGACAGTGTCCAGTTAACAAGGGGCAAGCTTAGAGTAACCTACCAGAAAAACAGACAGTCGCCAGAAGTACATCTAGGAGGTGGCAGGGGCCAGAAAAGCAGGGTTGCCTCATGAGAGGGAGAGAAAATGCCCCTGCTGGCTTCTTATTGGATGGAACCTGGGACTGTGAAGCTGTTTGCTGTGGGGTACATGCTGTAAAGCCCCTCTATCAAATCTTTGCTCACAGGAGCACCAATGGGGTGGCCTCACAGGGGAGGTAGGACAAACATAGAAACAACACACAGAAGCAGTGGAGTATAGGAGGGGGAAAGCTGACAGTTTAGTCACACTTAAAAGAGCTAGATACTAACTTCTGAGCTAAGTCAAACATCATCTCATTTCAGGTGCATATGGACACATTACAGGCAGTGGCAGGTTGAGAACTGTTACTGGAACTGCATGCCATTGTTAGCAGGCCTGGGGGGACCACACTTTAGGCTTGAAAACCCCAGCCAAAGAGTGGAAGCAATTTGGATTGGCAAAAATACAGGTTCAAAAAGGAAATCCACGTCAGCTCCAGCTGCCCCAGAGTTCTGCTCTCTGAACTCTGTCCTATGACAGTCCTATGGCCATGACACACAGGTTAGCAAGTACAGAAAGCCTGGCCCAGGGTGGAAGAGTGCCTCTGAGCCCCAGCCTCACACAGAGTTCACCACAGGATGCACTGACCCAAGGCAGATTCTTCCAGGAAGAACATGCAGATGACATTTGCCTCCAAAGTATAGCACAATCACACTTGACTCCATGCCTCCACATGGAAGACCCTAGTGGGTTCCATTGGGTTCCAGGGCAGCATGCCCCCTCATGCCCTGTTCCATAAACATTTGACAAGCCACAGGTAGTATGTTAGTGGCTGTGGCCTCAGGCCTGCCAGTGTTTTAAACACTATACCTTGACCTTGAGATGCCTAGCCCTGTACAAACCCCTCCTCGTGCCCAGGGTTTGTCCTTCCTTACAGCAGCTGTCATGCTCTGAGTAATATACGGAACTAATACCTCAACAGGTAAGTCCAGGGGTCAGGTGCCCACGACCAACAGAGCCCTGTAGGCACCTGCTTCCCAATGCCTATATTCCAGATTCACAAGGTGGGCAGGCAAGGCAGCTGGCTCAGTGCCCTCACAGGGAGAGATGCCCTCATTCTCAACAGCCCGGTGAAGGCCAAAGCAGCCCTGCCCCCTGCCCACAGACAGAGCCAGGAGAGCCTAGAGTCCTCACTCTGGCAGCCTGTGTCCAGGATTTAGGGACTCAACTCCAGTCACCCACCTCACTGACCCACAACAAATGCCCCTCAAGCCAGCATCTGCTGGAGCCCCTTAGGGGCCAAGAGTTTCCAAATACACAAACTTGCAGGATTCCTCCCATAAATCATGTGACCTGGGGGCTAGCAGGGGAGGGATGGGATTAGGAAGGGCAAGGTCACAGTGTCTTAGTCCAAACACTTACCTTGACCTTCGCAAAGCTTCTTCATCAGGGTCTTGCACTGTGGATAGAAAGTTGCTGGTCAGGAGGAGTAACAGGGAACATACAGAAGAAAATCCACTAGAACTCTGTGGGCACTGATTCCCCACCAATGACTGCTCCCTAGCCTAAACTAGGAAGGAAAAGGCTGTGTGCTGGGCAGAGGGCAGGAGGAGAAAGGGAATATGAGAGGAAATGGTGTAAGTGGATGGGAGTGGTCAGAGGTGTGGCCTGTGAGGTCCTCTTATCCCAGCTCTGGGCAGTAATTTTGCCCAGAAGCACCATGGCAAGCCTGCTGCCCACTATGTGGTCAGGGAGCTGAGCAGAACCTTGATACCATTTGCCTGCCCCAGGGCTCCGAAGGGGCTCAGCAGCCACTATTTATCTATCAAGGCCAGCTCATCTTCAAAAAGTGGGAGGAGGGGCTTGACTCCCTGGCCTCTGTGGGACTGTGGAGTAGGGCCCAGAATTCTCATGGCCCCTCAGCATCTCTCCTTTTTGCACCGGCCCCCCCCCCCCCCACAGCCCTCACTTACTGTATTCTGTCCCTGTCATCTGGGCCAGGATGCGGAAAGAGCGAGACTGAAGGTTGGAGGAGCGGCGGGCCCACTCATCAGCCTCATCTTCTGGCTTGTTCTGGTTCTTAATCACAGCCTGATACACAGGAGAGGCGCTGTCTACGGCAAGGTCTTTAACAGGAAGGCTTCTGCAATGCAGAAAGAGGCTGTGGGTGACAGCTAAGCTAAAACCCTGCTCCCAACCCCTTACACTCCCCCCACATTTCATCCCCTGGCATCCCTTTCACCCATGGTGGCCCCTACTTGTCTGAACCCACCATTCCCTTTACCCACTGCCATCTGAGAGCCTGGGACAAGAGGTTGGCTAGGCCCTCAGTAGTCAGGATAGCCACAATTAGACAGTGATTCCTCTCACAGGGGGTCACGAGGCTCAGGTCCCTTCAGCCAACACCCCTCCTCATGCTTGCTGAAGACACTGACCTGAAGACATAACCCACCCCAGGTGGTGGATCTCCTTTAAAAAGAGAGGAGGCAGAACACATCTTCTTGGAGTAATTTCTACCTCCCTGAGCAGGCCCTGAATTTAAGGTTATGTGAGGACAGGCAATTCAGGACCCAAAGTCTCCCTCAGGGTTGATCCCTTGTCCTCCTCACACCTTCGGATCCAAACAGGAAGCCACCAAAGCTATGACAGCCGTAGCAGAGGAATGAAGGCTACCTCTCAGCTACAAACAGGCAAATGAGGGTGAGGGGGTGAGAAACACAGCAACAAGGCCATGTGGCCGGTGTATCACCTGCAGACAGGGGGGTTCTGGCTTGAGGGAGCTGGGAGTGGAGCTGCAGGAGGACCACTAGTCTTCTGCCCCAGCCTATTGAAGGAGACCTGGTGACCTTCCCTTAGACTCCCAGGATCTGGCACATCATAGGTGCTTGAAACTCAGTTTTGAGCAAATCCTGTATAAGAGCCAGAAGGGTCCCCAGAGCTACTTGGGTTCAGTGCCTTCCAGCCTGGACCAGACTGCAGGGCAGGATGTATCAAAAGCATTATGGATGTCCACTCACCCTGGCCAGTCAGGGCTGGAGGACACAGGATACCCAGCCCACCCCGTCATAGACTCAAGTGGAGCTCACAGTAATAAGAGCCTGCTACCTCAGCCAGCAGCCTAGCCCAGGAACTTGCAGATGCTGAAACTGAGATCCAGAGAGACCAGAAGACTAGCTCTAGGTAACAGCATATAGGGCCCCTAATAGAGTTAGAACCCAGACTTTCCAGCTCCCAGCCCAGTGTCCTTTCCATCAGACCCTTTGCTGGGACAAGGGCTCAGAAAGGCCACTTCTGCCTACTGGGCCTGTGTAGCCCAGATGCTCTATGCCTAGAAACAGCCCAGCTCAGACACTTGCCCTGTCCAGCATCTCCTGCTTGCCTCTATGGCTGCCTCTACCTGTACCTATGAGGGCCAGCTACCTAGGAGGGGGTCCTCCCCAGTTCCCATGTCTTCTACCCTCTCTGCAAGGAGCTATCGAGCACTGGTCTAGTCTCTCAGGATTGGTGCCCTGTGTCTGGCTCAGGGCAGGCTTTGACAACAGAGGTAAAGATAGGTGACAAAAGGAAACTAAGGTGGGGTGGAGCTGCCCCTACTTCTCTGATGCTGTGTCCTGGCCTGAGAGCTACAGATAGTTAGCAGCCTGTGGTTGGGGTCCAGTGGGGAAGACCAGTGAATCCCTCTCAGGTCCTGGCAGGGAGGAGCCCAGGGCTGCCCAGGAGTAAAGGGGTGGGTAGGGGTCTCACTAGAGAAGGTCATTTCCAGCTCACAGAAGTGTCCCAAAGGCTCTCAAAGCAGAGGCTGGATCTATTGTCTTTGGGTGAGGTGAGCAATAGGAAGGCATAATACAGTCAGGACTCCCTAGTCTGCTAGGAGCAAGTGCGGACTGTGCCATGGGTGAGGGAAGGTGTAGACCCAAGTCTACCAGACCCTGTCTGTAAGCCTGCCTACATAGAGCTTTGTGGTCCAGAAAGCAGATGGAAGGCATTTGCTGCCATCCTCCTGGGACACACCCTTGATGTGTGCCCCTGTCCTTCCAAAACTCCAGGGTTCCAGAAAGCTGCCCAGAGTGAGACCCTTGGGCTTTACATTGTTGGCTCATCTCCTACCACACTATACAAAGATCAGGGACTGGTGTTGCTGCAAGAGACTGGGAGATCAATGAAGGAACTGCTATGCATTTTTAAGACTCTGGGGCTCAGGGAAAGAGTGGAACAAATCCTGAATTCCTGGGACCCTGAGTCTGAGGCTGTTTTGGGAAGCCTCTCACAGCATGGTCTTCTTGCCACCAAAAATATTCCATAGTCACTGCAAATCAAGGTCACCATGGGGCATTTACTCCACTCATACTGCCCCAAATCTGACTCATCTCTCACCTCCCTTGGGTGGTCTTGTAAGCACTGGCTCCTTTAGATCCATGTTTCATGACAGTTCTGGGGAATGACCTCTAAAAGGCCCCCTTATCACCCTCTCCCCTAAATAATGGCCCAGTGTGGATACTGACATTCAGATCTATGCTGTCTCAGTGCAGACAGAAAAGACTGGGGTGAACCCCCTCAAAGCACGGCAAGGAGAACACAGAAACACACCCAGCCTTGGCAACCAGCATGAGTGTTGTTACTGTCATCTATGTCCATAGTGACATTATTTGGGGCAAACCCCAAAAGCCTATACAGCCTATACAGGCATATGGCATGTGGCTGTGAGGTAGGTGTGAGGAAGAACACCAGACAGAGGTACTGTCCTCTGACACATTCCACCAAACCCACACACCATCCCACAACCAGACAGACAATAATAGAACAGATTCTGTGAGGTCTACTTATGCCAGTGGTGATGCCCTGCCAAGCAGAGGACAGACAGTGAGTATACATCCATCACGGGAGGACAGAGGGACAGCACACACACAAGAGAGCAGAATTAGGATCAGAAATGAGTTATGGGAGTGGGGCGGATAAAGAATGAAGAGCAACACAAAGAAAACTTTCAGTGAAGAAGGAACCATGGAAATTAACAGCAGAAATGGAGCACCTTATGGCAGAGAGAGGCAGCTCTTATCCACAGTCACCACGGCAGCACTAGCCCAGCAGGGCTGAGTTAAAAGGAACAGAAGAGCATGTTGCTTCCCAGGCATACAAGAGAAGGGAAAGGAAGCGGGGTAGGAGGAAGATGGGAAAGGTCTTTCCAGCAGGCTAGATAAGATCAATGGTACATTATGTTTTAAAAAAAATTGTGGGTTCCCTAATGGTAAAACCAAATAATAGCATTCTTTCCCAAGGTGCAAAAAAATAGAAAGTCCTAGTGAAGAACAGTTCTATTATCTTCTACTGAACTTCCCTTTGGCAACTGTTACCACTTTTAGGAGCACATCAAGGACACACTTGCACATTCTGTGGCAAACAAATGTTAGCAGGAAATCCCTGTTATCTCTTTGGCTTAGCCAGGCAATTTTGTTTTCTGGGTACACATGAGATAATGGTTGTGTTTTTAAACTTGCATGGTCATATTTTCTGCTTTGAAGGATGGAATGAAATCAACACTGCTGAGTTCTGCCTGAGCCTGGTGAGTCTGAGACCCACAGCTCCAGGGCAAGCAACCTCTGTCCCCTGGTGGTCCAAAGGAGGTACTGCGGGCCTAAGCAGCCAGGTTCCCCTAGGAACAGGAGAGCCCCAAGTGCGCACAATGGTCCTTTGACCTCTGGAGCCTCCCCCTTTTAACCTTACATCATGGCCACAAGGGCTGGGTTCTGGAAAGGTCAAACACCCCTGGAGTTTCTGGGACTCGTTAACACCTTTATTCCTCTTACAACATCTGTTTTTCTTAGCTTCAGCAAAAAAAAAAAAATACAGCATCATTTAAAGATTTCTTGCCTTGAGTTGCTGGGGCTACTGACTCAGGGATAAGATGTTGCCCAAAGAGATAATCAGTCAGTTCTGAAAGTCAACACTGATGTTATTGCCAAGTAGAAAACAGTCAGTGACCATGTGTGTGTGTGGGGGGGGGGGAGGGGGGACAAGAGAAAGACACACAGAGATACACAGAGTGAGTGAGACACAGGCACGCACACACGCACACACACACAGATACAGAGAGAAAGGAGAAACTATGAGACAGAAAGACAAAAAGAGGAAGAGGTCCTCATTAATGTTTGCACTATTAGCAATTTGATCCATAATTTTCAGCCAACTCTTTCCCTATTTAGCTCTCAAGTTCCTCGACCATAGATAACAGGAAAATTCCAGGAAGCAAGGATGTCTGAGGTCCCATTGACCTGAGGTTGGTCTTTCCTGGGCAAATAGGAGGAGGCAGTTCCTAGGCTCCACGGTGGGGAGACTGCCGACAGCACCCCAATGGTTCCTAAACAAGAAACCCCGTTGCATATTTAAATTGTTGTCATCTTTGGAAGAATGCAGCAACTTCCCCCCAAATAAAGACTTAGTTATGAGAAGATGGTGATATACTGAATGTGACACCGGTTAACAAGAATCCAGAGGTCTCTTTCTAAACCAGCCCCTTCAGGGTGCCCAGGGAAACTGCAGAGGCTATAACAAGCACTTGGAGCCATCACCATAGTCTACATTTCTCCACCCCTTTCCTAAAGCTGACCATGAGATTAATTCTGAAGAGAGAATGCCATGTTCTAGAAGGCCTGGTCAGAGGCTGTGCCCAAGGTGAGGGAGGAGAGCTGATCCTGATGCCTCGAGTCTCATGGTCCCCCGCAGCCTGGTGCCCACAGCCCCATGGGGATGAGGCCCCGGCCATGGCTAAGCAGGTGAGCAGTGAGCCACCGCGGAGGAGGGGCAGTGCTTACCCACTGAAATCACTGCCCTGGGCCTGGGCCTGCCCGGCGATGGCATCCATGATGGCATCCTGGGAGTACATGCTGATGGGGGTGTTGTACTGCGCATGGATGATGGTGGCCTTGCCACCCAGCCCTTTCACCTCGATGGGTTTGTGAGTGGACAGGGCTGAGTCCTTCAGGGCGTTGGGGTTGAAGCGTTCCTGGTAGTCGGCACTGGGGAAGGGGAGCAGGGGGAGCAGGGGGAGGTGGAAGGAGAAAAGGGCAACATGTGGCATTACATGGGAGGTCCCAGAGAGGGCTGGTGGTGGAGGGTGTCAAGAGAGATCTCCCAAAGTCTGATCTT